ATCTTTATTCATTGCCGATTGAAAGCATTTCGCCAGACGGCAGGCACGACACTGATTGCGATGAGTTTTGTCGACGGGGCAGCGACCCTTCAGATCACCCGTTGCTTTGCAGGTGTAGATGCGATTGCGATGAATGCTGCGCTTAAAGAAGCCCGAGCAACCTGTAAAGCGATAAACAAATTCAAATTTTGRGGTTATCATAATGGATTTCGGTTTTGTTAGGTTAAAAGAGCGATCCYTTGGCAAAGGGCAATAAGGATCTTACTGTAGCAATTTAAAAGGTTTGTCCAAAGTCTTGTTTGTGACATAAGTCAATAAGCTTAGGCAGCTGCGAATATCGATTAAATGTGATAACTACATATTGCTAAGTATTGATGGTAAAGATCTTCATAAATTGAGCAAATGTGTTGAGATTGTCAAAAATTGTTTGAGCCGGCTATTCCGGTTGRTTTCGAGTATTTAACCAGGTTTGCGAAGATATCAGTGTCGCTATGTTTCACCTTCAGTCTTTCACAATAGCTGTAAAACTGTATTTCATAAGATTATTAGACATACTGCATCTTGGTCTTGACAAGGTCCATTAAGAACTCCTATAAGTTGCAAGTTGTTCAGCTAACTGCTATAGTTTATACTCTCAGAAAGAAGGCTCTCGCAATACGGTAATGGGTAATGGATACATAAAGAAATAKTACAGCGYCGRAACGCCCAGAAGCTGAAATAATATAAAGTTATGCCACYGCRTTGACAGTTCTTGTCTGGATATAAATTCTTAGCTSTTTCRMTAAGGAATGCTTRACCGGATGGTGTTCAAACTCTTTAGCTCCTTAGGCATGCCTTCAAACTTGTTGAAGAATGCAATTTTGGTTTCGAAAGCTAAAAAATAGTCTACATTTCATCCCAATTAGAAAAAATTAATCGGACATCTTTCTCACATTTTGCAATATATGTATAATGCTCTTTAGTGTATTTGTACAAATAATTTGTATTAGATACCTAAAGAATTGTTAGCAGACGTGAGAAAGACCGAATCTTTCGATCCCTTTTGAAGCTTATTACCACAAAAAAAGTTTGTCTGAAACTTTGCTAAAGCCATCGGTGATGAGCGCTATCGGACAGACCCTAGAATGTGCTGCAATGGTAGCAGCTTTCAACAAACCATTAAGTAGTTGTTAAAGCCAGTTTTGGTCCATTGCGATACGAGCACCGGAATGGAGTTCAGTTTCCAGGTCTATAGAAGTAGTCATCCTTTATGATGCCTGTGCTTGACGCAAATTTCAACAGACTCTGTGGCCTCACTGCCTCACTATCGATACCGCCTCGAGTGTATCATACTGTACCATACATACAGTGACATGTATTCTGCGCATATTCCTATAGTATCTTCTATCGAATGGTAATAGGAATTTTGTGTACTTCCAGTTCTGCCATTTTGCATATAACTTTGGCAGTTTTGCACCCAGGTAACTCGTTCCATCTGGTTTTGATTTTCCATTTTTACCATACTTACTATCTACTAGTAACAACATTAGACTAAATAACTGTAAACTTTATTTAATTTGACATATGTGAATGAAATTATGATGGGGCCAAATGAGTTGAGGACAAGGTGAAGATCGCAAACGATGAAAAAATGGGATCTCTTAATCTTTGATTTTATTACTTTTGTACTTCAATTTGAAACTCTCAAGCTGGCATACCGTTTAAACAAATAGAAGCTCTGAAACACGACAGGATTGAGTACAGAACCTGCTGAAGCAGGAAGTAGAGTAAATACTGGGTTTGTCCGGTAAGTAATAAGTAATAAGAGCAAGTCGATTTAAAACAAGTAAGGAAGGGATAAGTTCGGGTGTCACCGAACATTTTATACTCTCGCAAGACAAGTTTCATCAAAATATCTCAATTTTTACTCAAGTTACAGCTTGCACGGACGGATAGACAGACATCCGGATTTCAACTCCACTCGTCACTCTGATCACTTTGTTGTATGTAACCATATATCTGACGATATATACCGTTATTAGCAACTTTGTTGCGAGAGTATAAAAATGATGCCCTCTGAATTGCATGAAAATATCTTAGAGATTTAACGATATTTTCGGTGAAAAATTAGGTTAGGTTAGGTTAGGCACTGAGTTYTTCGTGTTCGATATCAGGCACCTTGAAAAGTTATAGTCCGATCACGACAATTATATGGTATTTGTGTAAGGTTTTATTCCGCTACCATCATCATATACAGAGAAGACATGAGATGGAATTCAAAATAGCGTTATATTGGAAGAAGGCGTGGTTGTGACCCGATTTCACCCATATTTCGTACATATCAATATTATTCCGGTAATATTATATACCGGATTTCATTGAAATCGGTAGAGTACTTCCTGAGATATGGTTTTTGGTCCATAAGTGGGCGACGCCACGCCCATTTTCAACTTAAAAAAAAAGCCTGGATGCGGCTTCCCTCTGACATTTCTTCCGTAAGATTTAGTGTTTCTGCCGTTTTTTGATAGTCGGTTAACGCACTTTTAGTGATTTTCAACATAACCTTTGTATGGGAGATGGGCGTAGTTATTATCCGATTTCTTCCATTTTTGAACTGTATATGGAAATGAAACGACTAAAACAAACGACTCTATACAGTTTGGTTGACATAGCTATAGTAGTTTTCGAGATATGTACAAAAAAGTTAGTAGGGGGCTCACTTTTTACTCAAGTTACAGCTTGCACGGACGGATTTCAATTCTACTTGTCACCCTGATCACTTTGGTATATATAACCCTACATCTGACTCTTTTAGTTTTAGGACTTACAAACAAACGTTATGTGAACAAAACTATAATACTCTCTTTAGCAAYTTTGTTGCGAGAGTATAAATATGTATTGAATCAATCGTTATAATTCTTTAAAAACTTTGAAAATACGCTTCTTTTGCCTCGATGCATCGCTGATAGCGCAATATCCAAGCATTGATGTCGTCACGGAAGACATGCTTCGGAATAGCCGAATAGCAGTATAGCAGTATAGAACATAACGAACTCGCGTAGATCATAATGTGTCAGTCAACAAACAAAAAAGTCTATCAATTAAATGAAAATAATTCCACTCCATCTTTCTTAAAAGTTTCAAATATTTTTGTTTTTCAAAAMAACGTCGCTTCACTCACCATCACAACTGTAGATGCCATAATGTTTGCCAGAACTTCGATCGCCACACACTTTGCACGGTATGTCCAGCAGGCGATCACCTGAAAAAAAAAAATAAAATACGTTAAAAATAACACATAAAACACGTACGAAAGTAGAAAAACAAAACAAGTAAGTAAGGTAGTAAGCAAGCTAGATAGGTTTGATAAATAAATGTTTTAGACTAGGCTTAAGCGGTATTAACGACCCCTGAACCACCAGACAAAAGTTTACTTAAATAAAAAGGATATTTCAGCAATAAAACATATGAGGTGTGGGTCGCGAGTTGTATATAGGTAGGGTGTTAAAACGCGTAACAATGCACTATTGTCCTTTAAAGTACACACACGAGCACTGTAGCAGCAGTAACCGAGGCCGACTTAAGTTAAATAAACAAATGCACGACGACTTTTCCAGAGTTRTTGATACAGAATTTTTCGACGTGACTCTTCGACCGAGGCACATACATACTATATACATACATATAAGTGAAGTGAAATGAGACGGGAAGAGGGKCTTCTCTGGCATTGCTGTAGAAGWACCCAAAAGTCCACAYACGCACACCTCGACTTGCCACAAAAGACAAATGACAAAGTAAACCCTTTTTCGCACTTAATTTTTTGCACCTCATTTACTCACAAACACACACACCCTTTACCCGCTCATTCCGCCACCTCAGTGTACCGCAATTTTACAGTTAATCTCAGTCAACGGACAAGGCACGTAGCGGCACACTTTATATTTAATAGAGAAATGCTTCGATAAACAAGCGGCACTTGTCAAAACACTAACAAAAACTTAGGTTATGCAATACAAAAACAACTATAACAAGTAAGGGCTAGGAAATTAAGACACGGAGGAAGTAAGAGGAAGTGTTTGGCATRAAATGCCAGGGTGATGATGCGGTGTTGCAAGTAGTTGTGAGTGGTATGRAWGCYATAGAGGCWGGCATAGAAGTATGGKTATGTATATGTAGGTTTGTATGTATGTATCCATGCCTGTGTATTGTCATGTAATCAATTCCGTTGTAATGATTACAAAGCCCAACGCCCAGACTTTTGACATATTGCCATTGTTTGTGCATTTYTTCAGCTCATGCGTTATATTATATGCACGCATACATACACACACATACAYATGTGCCCTTAGAGCACCCTAYGGYCCCTTTGTTGTTTGTCGCTTGACGCGTGCCGCCACTTTTCACACCCTTTRTACACCAGTTGGCGTGCAATTGCAGCGCCGCCGGCTTCCTTGAGGGCTGTTCGGCCGGCAACAATGCTCTTTTATTGCCGTTTTTTTGTTGTAATTGCTTGTTGCATTCCATTTTTCGCTTTGYGCTAAGTATGTATGTGTTGTTGTTGTTGTCTGTTGTATGCGTCAATTATTATTTTAATATTTTCAAGTTTATTTTAAAATACGTTTTTGTTATTCTTTTGAGATTTTCATGCCGCATTGCGTATTCTAGTCAACTGTGCGTGATTGTGTGTGTGAGTTGTTGTTGTTTCTGGTATTTTTTGGTAAAATGCATTATTGCAGCATTCTATGGGTATTATGAAATTAACATATTCTCAGGCAATATGTGCAAAAGCCAGTTTAGTTGAATAGTGATTGTTTATTTTATTTTGAGTGTGTTCTGGGAATAAAGGATTTCTCACAGATTTCAAATTGAAAAGTTATAAAGTAAAGCTTGGTAATGGAGTTAACAAATTTAGAAATGTACGAAGCCTTAGTTAAGTAGCTTATATAGAATGCTCCACCAGTTTTTGTGACTACTCCAACCAAGTGAATGGTTAGCCTTTGTGCTACTTAAATAGCTAGGATGGATGCCTGACGACGCAGCTGAGCCTTTAAGAGGCCCATTTGTGCAACCGTCGGAACTAAAAGCCCCTTACGCTTTTATGTTCTCCCAGCATGCCTATCACAAAGTCAGATCGGTCGACTCTTGCGATATAGTGTGAACATCATTCAAAAATAATTTTCTGAAAGCACCTTAAATAATAGCATACGCGGACGAAGCAGTTATTGTGGTTAGAGAAAGGTTGCTCAAGACTATTTACAAGCCAAACAAAGGGTACATCAACGTGGTTTCCAGCTGAGCTCGTCGGAGCGGCATACCCATTAATCTAAGTAAAACTGAAAGGAAAACTAGGAGTTCGAAGACGTAGGGAAGCTGGTTATATAAAGAGATCCGAAGAAGGACTCGCAAAAATTTTCTTCTCCTTCAACTGCAGTTCTGAACGCATGGATCACCGCAATACAGAGGCCACTCGTTACGACATCTTCTCTTCTCACATACCAGCAAGCCAGATATGGATGGGAAGAAGCCGTTAAAAAAGCGGCGCCATAAGCTTTTCCACGGATGGATCGATACTAGGAGGAAATGTTGCAAGAGGAGTTTTTTGTAAGCAGCTCTCGGTCAATCTTAGCTTTATACTACCGGATCACTGTAGTGTTTTTCAGAGCGTTCCCACCACAGTCAGGTCTATGTAACCGGAACGGACCCGGATTTCTTATCCGGTCAAGAACTGTCAATTGGTATAAAGCATAAAGCTACTTCATTATCTCGTTTGGGTGACTGCTTATAACGGAGATTGAGTACTCTTTCCCCCCCTCACATAGGTATGAGACCGAGATGTATTGCCATTGGGGTGACTCCAGCTCCTGTACGACTGCGAGATCCTTCTGGGCTAGAGTAGAAAGAAGTGATGTACTGAACTACTTGTCCTGAGTAAAGYTCATCTTKCCGCAATCGAAAATRTTCTTACTGGACACTGTCCAATRGGCATTCATGCGGTAAGGCTAGAAAATCTTGTCGGACGTTGGTTGTCCAAATTGTATGGAGGAGGGTGTAATGGAAACAGCTAGGTACTTTGTCCTCCATTTGCCCAGCCTTTGCAAACTGATGCTAAAACATCTCGGAAATCTCTCCTTCGGCGTATACCAGAAAACATAGTCAAAACTCATACTAGGCGTCTCAAAAGWGGCTTAAAGCCTGACCTCAATTCAAGTAAGAACCCTCTTATGTTCGATCTCTTAACCTAACCAAAGCGAACCATTATGTTTTTCCTGAACCATTCTGTGCTCTTGATGGAGTTCATCATTCCAAAAGTTGTAGTATATGTCCCTTTTTCCGACGTCGTCAAAAAGTCCTCAACTGATAGTAGCGATTTTTTTCTTATACAAAGCCATACGTCTCCATTAAAGATGTTCTATAGTATATTCTTCTTCTTCTTCTAAGCAATTGCCATTTTTAATAGTTAATCATCAACCCTTCTTCGCTTAGGAGTGATATTGTAACAGTTTACTAAGTTTTCAGTAKTTTATTAGTACAACATAAAGTATATAATGTCGAGGCATTCCATGAACTAGCTTTTGGAAGTTAAGTGTACCTTTAAGACCTGTTGTGAGACAAATACAAAGTACATGCCAAAGTATGCGGTGTATCGATTGACGCCTGTAATTAAAATTTTTTAATAATATTTTAAATGGTATGGATTGGCCCCATAGTTGGCTTAAAACATACATCTCACATGGCAATAAAGCTAAGGCATCCAAATTTGCTGAGATAAAGTGCTTCCTTCTCTACTGAAAAATTTATGAAGTCGGTTGTTAACAATATGCATACTCCATATAACGAATTTATA